CACTGCCACTCAAAATCTGCTTCCTTTGCAAGAAATTCTCCCTAACATTTAGCCTGAGATACACTTAGTGAAATGCAACACCTATCTTCATTTTGTTCCCAGGAGTTAGTGGGACATAATACTCTTCTATGTCTTCATTATCTACATGTTCTTCTTGCTGCTGCTCTCAACATGGCATGTGCTCTAAGTTGGTACCTCCACTTACTTTTTGTTATATGCCTAAATGAGTGCTAAATTGCTATCAGAAAGGTCCAAGCTAGGACTTGGTGTTTGGGACTTGGAACCTAGAATGTGCAAAGACCTAGAGTTGGAAAATCAAAGGGAAAGAACATGCTTGACATTTCTCAAGATGAAAGGATTGCAGAAAAAATTCAAGCCTGGAGTTGCAATATTGAAGAGTTCTATGGGCCAAATTTTGAACAATGCAAGAAGCATCAAAAGAAGATGGAAGGAATACATAGAGTCACTGTATCAAAAAGAATTGGTTGATGTTCACCCACTTCAAGAGGTTATCGGATGATCAAGAACCAATGGTATTGAAGGAAGAAGTCCAAGCTGCAGTGAGGGAATTTGTGAAAAACAAGGCTTCAGGAATTGATGGAATACTCATTGAGATGTTTCAACAAACGGATGCAGTGCTGGGGCACTTACTCATTTATGCCAGGAAATTTGAAAGACAGCTACCTGTACAAGAGACTGGAAGCAATCCATATTTATGCCCACTCCAAAGAAAGGTGATCCAATGAAATGTGGCAATTATCTAACAATATCATTAATGTCACATGCAAGTAAAGTTACACTAAAGATAATTAAAAAACGATTACAGCAGTATATTGACAGAGAACTTCCAGAAATGCAAACTGGATTCAGAAGAGGAAGTGGAATGAGGGATATATTGCTGTTGTCAGATGGATCTTGGCTCAAAGCAAAGAATATCAGAAAGATGTTTACATGTGCTTTACTGACCATGCAAAGGCATTTGACTGTGTGGATCATAACAAATTATGGATAACACTGTGAAGAATAGGAATTCCAGAACACTTAATTGTGCTCATGAGGAAACTGTATGTAAACCAAGAGGCTGTCATTATTCAGTCTGTATGCTGAACAAATAATCCAAGAAGCTGGACTGTATGAAGAAGATTGTGACATCAGGATTGGAGGAAGACTCATTAACAACCTGCAATATGCATATGATGCAACCTTGTTTGCTGAAAGTAAAGAAGACTTGAAGCACTTAGTGATGAAGATCAGAGACTTCAGCCTTCAGTATGGATTACTCCTTAACATATAGAAAACAAAAATCCTCACAACTGGACCAATAGGGAACATCATGATAAATAGAGGAAAGATGGAGGTTGTCAAGTATTTCATTTTACTTGGACCTAGAAATCAACACCCATAGAAGCAGCATTCAAGAAATCAAACAATGTATTGAACAAATCTGCTGCAAAAGATTTCTTTAAAGTGTTTAAGAGCAAAGACCTCACTTTGAAGACTGAGGTGCACCTGACTCAAGCCATGGCATTTTCAATAACCTCATGCATGTGAGAGCTGGACAATGAAAAAAGAAGATCACAAAAAAATTAATGCATTTTAATTGTGTTGGTGAAGAATGTTGAATGTCCCATGGACTGCTAAAAGAATGAACAGATCTGTCTTGGAGGAGTACAGCTGGAATACTCTTTAGAAGCGAGAATGGCCAGAGTTTGTCTTTCATACTTTGGTCATGTTGTCAGATGGGACCATTCCCTGGTAAAGTAGAGGGTCAGCGAAAAAGGGGAAGATCCCAAACAAGGTGGATTGACACAGTGGCTGCAATGACGGACTCAAGCCTGGCAATGATTCTGAAGATGGTGTGGGACTGGGCAGTGTATTGTTCTGTTTTACACGGGCTTGCTGTAAGTTGAAACTGACACGATGCACCTAACAGCAATCTTTGCAGGAGCAGATTGCCAAGCCTTTCTAATGCTGAGCTGCTGGGTAGGTTCAAACTGCCAGCCTTTCAGTCAGCAGGCAAGTGCTTTATCATTGTGCCACCAAGGCTCCTTGAATAGAAGGCTAGGAGCTTGTATTTATCCAGAGAAGCTAGTCTCTCAGACCCTTGTCATGTCACTGCCTTCCCTCTGCTCCCTATTTCAAGGCACTAAAAGGCCAATTTTGGAGGCACTGAGGTGGGCAGGGAAGTAGCCTGCCCACCTATGCCATCTCTCCCCTCCCTCCCAGAGAGGGACCAGTGAGTGAGATTTTCCATCCCTCTTTCTCTATCGAGGGGTTCTGCTTCTGTCCCTATGCCCTGGTCATACTTCTGTGCTGCCTTGTCATAGTTCCTGCCAGTCACACCAGCAGCTCTTCTTGAACCCTGACTCCTGCTGCTGCCATGGCAGATAGCTGCCCAGCCTCACCCTTTTGGCAGTACCTGGGAGAAAGGCCTGGCAAGCTGGAGACCTCAACTGACTTCCCACTTTCCTTTAAGGGGAGCATGGGGGAGAGGGACCTCATCCCCCTCATTCTGATTCTTTGGCTCTGAGTCAGAATGCCTGGGTTCAAATCTGCATTCCACCATTTTCAGCTGTGTGTTCTTAGACAATTTACTTTAAGTCTCATTTTCCCCATCTGTTGGACTCAAACCCAGTTTCCTGCATGGAAGGCGAGAATCCTCCTCCTGAACCTCCAATGCCTCATTTACCTTCTCCATAACACTCTCTTTTTCTGTGCCAGACCTCCGACTCTTCTCCCTGCCTGTTACACCTAGCTCGGAATCCTTGCCTCCAGGCAGCTTTCTCATACTAACCCATCCATTTCCCAGCTTCACTTCCCTTTCATTCCTCTGGCTCTACTGGTTCTCTCCTTACTACTCTGTACTTGGAGACTGAATCCTGGCTTCCCTGTCCTACCAAGAGCTCCTTCAGGGTCTCCAGGTCTGGACTAGGGCTGTGTGGACTGATTTTAACACCAAAAGTCCAGAGAAAAATAGGATTTGGGCATTCTACTTGAACCTATAATGTTATTATTGTTGTTATTAGTTGTTGTTTAGCTGATTTTGACTCATGGAGATCTCATGTGTGCATAGAAGAATAATCCATAAGGTTTCTGAGGCTGTGACTTTTCTTTTGGAAGCAGATTGCCAGGTCTTACTTCCGAGACACCTCTGGGTGGGTTTGAACCACTAACCTCTCAGTTAGTCCAGTGCTTAGCCATTGAACCACCCAGGGACCCCACCAGCACCATGAGCAGCTGTATTCAGTGTATTATAGTTTTTTTTTTTTTCCACATGCATTATCACAAGAATAGATACCATGATTCCTGTAAGTCTCTGAGGCTCAGAGAATAGGCGAATTGTCTATGATCACACCGTCAGAAGCAGGGCTGGGAGCTGAAACCTGTTCATCTAACTAAATTCCAGGCTCACTCTCTCTTCTGCCCACAGTATCTCCTGGAGATGGTTGAGACTTGAAGCTGCCCACCGCTTCCCAGAGGCAGACCTCAGAGCCTCCCCCCTCCCTTAGGATGCCTTCTCCTCTCCGCTGCTCCCCAGACAACTGTTTTTGTTCTTTCCCATTTCCTACCCCTTTCCATCTCATTAGCCATTGGCAGCTGTGATTCAGTTCCAACTTTTGCCAAAAAAGTTCCTTGCACAAATACAAACTCACTGCCGTCGAGTTGGATCCAATGCACAGCAACCCCTCCTTGGGTTTCTGAGGTGGTATCTTTATGGAAGCAGATTGCCCAATCTTCCTTCCGAGGAGTGGCTGGTAAGTTTGAACCGCCAAACTTCTGGTTAGCAGTCAAATACCTTAGGCACTACGCCACCAGAGCTCCTGCACAAACACAAAGGAAAAGGAAATTTAAAATATTAGGAAAAAATGTCCTGCAACCCCTAATAAATAAATGTTATTTTTTTTAAGCCTACCTTATCTACATTCTTATTTATTTATTTTTGCATTCTTAATCTCTATGATTAAGAATCATAGAGTCCAGGGAGGGAAGGAGCTCCACTTCGGAGACAAACATGCATGTGTACAACATACATACTAGCACTCGAGTAAATTTATTTCTGTTGAATCTGAAAATAAATAGATTAGAATCTGTATTTCATACATTTTTTAATGTCATTTTTCTGGTAACTTTATTGTATTATATGAAAATATTGGTCTGCAACAGATTGGAAATAAAAAAAAAAAGAAGATATTTTGGGGTAGCTTATCTCTTGGTCTAGAAGACAACGTTAGGTTCTGGTAGACGCTCAATGGATATGCAATCAGACCTCCAGTACCAAAGGACCTCACTTGTTGAGGAGCCTGAGGCTTACAGTGTAGCACCAGACATACCCAGCAAGATGCAGGCAGCCTTTGGATGAGTTGTATGGCTTCTACTTGCATGCAATGACCATAACACCCAGTTTTCATATGACAAACTTTGGGGTGTTCATGGTGATGATAACAGTGAGGAGCAGAAACAGGGTATAGATGTCAGAACAAAGTTTTTGCCCCACCAAGACATTGCTGGGACAGCAGGTGTCCCCATTCTTGTCCCAGCTGTGGTCCCCAGGTATCTAGATATCCCCTTGTTTTGTCCCAGGTCTCCCAGGCACACCCCCAAAAAAACAACTCAGTGGTGGAGTCTCTTAGGAAGAGATCAGCTAATGATTTTTGGGAAATCCAGTTGAGTTTCCATCAACTAGATCCTGACAGATGATTTCATTCTGATCTCTAAATGGCAAGAGATCAATGATAAATGATCAAGTTGGGGAAGTTTATCTACAATGCAATTTCTGCAACTCATAGGTGTGAGCTTTTAAAGAGACATTACTGGCAGGCAAAATAACATGAATACTCTCCACCCAGGATTCTGAAGTTCCCAGCCCAGGGTGTGCATGTATATATAGAGGCAGAGCCAGATCTCTTGCCAGAGGAGTCATAGCTTCTTCCCTTCCTGGACTCTACCTTCTTCAATCTGGGCCCTTTCTCTTATCTGCTACTCTGGATGCTTCAGCAAACATGAGCCACCAATTTAGTTCTCAGTCTGCATTTAGCTCAAGGAGCAGACGGGTTTATTGTGCTAGCTCTTCTGCAGGCTCTGGTGGTGGGAGTAGGGCTGTGGGATCTGTGTGTCAGGCCCAAGGGAGGTGTGGTGGTGGTGGCTGGGCCTATGGGAAGGGGTTTGGTTCTAGAAGCCTGTACAATTTGGTGGCAGTAAAAGCATATCCATTAGCCTAATGGGGAGAGGTGCCAGTGGTTTTTGCCAGAGTGGAGGAGTAAGAGGGGGATTTGGAAGCAGCAAAAGCTTTGGGGGTGGTAGCTTTGGGAATGGTGACATTGGGGGTGGTGGCTATGGAGTAGGAGGTTTTGGTGGTGCTGAGTTTAGGAGCAACAATTTTGGATTTGGGGGCTTCAGCCCTTCTTGTCCTCCGGGGGGCATCCAAGAGGTGACTATCAACCAGAACCTCCTACAGCCACTTCATCTGGAAGTGGACCCTGAAATTCAGAGGGTTAAGACCCAGGAACGCGAGCAGATTATGGTCCTAAACAACAAGTTTGCCTCCTTCATTGACAAGGTGAGTACCTCAGGGGCAGGCAGAGTCTTTGGACACTGACCAAATGATTGAGAGGGTCTTGTATCCTGCTGCAACTCATCAAATCACACTGTCTCTTATGGTGCCACAATCACTTCCAGATATGTATGTCTTGGGACCTTAAGAAAGCATTCACTTCATTTAGGCCTCCATTTGACTTCCTGGGAGAATTTATTTTTATCTTTTCCTTTTGGCAGGGAAGCATATAAGAGGTGTGGAAATCCCCAACAGACAAAATATATGGTGTAGTGACTTGTTCTCATTCATTACTATTCATTGTCCATCCATCCATCCACTCATGTATCCATCCACCCAACCATATATCCATCCACCCACCCACCCACCCAGCTAACAAACACTTACTAAACATCTATTAGATGCCAGTGCCTGGCATATTCCACAGAGGTTTCTAGGCCATAAGTTCTTTCCTCAAGGAACCCCAGGTCTTAAGGGGAGATAATTATGACTACATGTGGAAAGTCTATTAATAAGGGTAGTACGCTCTGAGCTGTGGTAGGTCTACAGGAGGGTTGAAGAGCTCTGCCAGTTGGGTTCATGGAGGGCTTCACTGGGGGCCCCAGGTCTGACCTGGGTTTTGAAAGTGGAGAATGAGTCAAATAGTTTCTCAGAGCAGAGAAGATTTCTAGACAGAAGGACCAGCAGGCACCAGGGCAAAAGGCATGAAAGTGTGACATCTTTAAGGAATTTCAAATGTTAAAATTCCTGGAGAAAAGAATGTAACAGAATGAAGAAGAGGGGGAAGATTAAGGTGCAGGGACAAGGCAGGAGAAGGTGGGATGGGTGAGCTTGGCAGAGCCTATGGGAATACGCTACTGACATCTCTGGGGGCTAATGTAGAGTTCTGAGTTTCTCTTTTCAGCTCATCCAGGGCCATGAAAGGGCTGAATGGAGCTGTGGAAGCCCCTCTCCCTAGTTCCCCGATTAAACCTCACATTATGTCCCATTGAGTCCCAATTCGCCAAACAGAGGCTGTTGGAAAGCTATGGTAAAGACCTTTCTCTAGCCTTCCTTTCTGACCAGGGATGGATGCCTGTTGGCCACTGGAGGCTCTCAGAAAGTGCTTTGCCTTTGTGGATAAGGTGGAATGCACAAAGTCTTCTGGATGCTCAGTAACTTTCCTTCAGTCCCCTCAAGAGTTTGGTGTTGAGGCCAGACATTTCTTGTGGTCTGACTGCAGGCTAATCATGGCCAGAACCTGTTAGGCTGTACAGCTGGCCCTTGATATTTGGACAAATGCTGGGGACAAGACAGAGCGTGGAAGCAGAGGAAGCAGGGGTAAGAGTGCTGAGGCCCAGAGATAGCTCCAAAGGTGTCCAACAGAGCAAATGCTTCTGGCTGCTTCTGATCGCTAGGGATGAAAATTCGAGCTGAATGTCGTCATACATCAGGCATAGTCAGGGGAGGGTTAAACTGGAACATGGAGGTAATAGGTGAAGAGGGCACCACTGGTGGGGGCAGGGGTCAAGGCTGTGCCAGGGAAAGATCATGGAGAAGGAAGGGCTGAGGGTCAATGAAATGACCACAGGCTGCTGCAAACCATCTACTGAGACTCTGATTTGATTATGGTCCCTGCAGGGCACTCATTGGGTTTTATGGCATTGGTGGTGGGCAGTGGCTAAGGTGAAGGAGACCTTGGCTTTCTGTTCTTTCCTAAGGGGCATGGTCTGTGATGACTATGAGAAGAGGTCCCTCAGCCCAGGTGGACCCTGGCCTGGCTGGAAGGAACAATCTTCTATTACAGTGGTTTCTGACTCTGCCTTCCAAGCTGGTCTTCCTCTTTTCACCATTAACCCTGTAAAACTATTCTCAACACCATACCACAGCCATCCTTTAAAGACATACCACACCACTCCTCCATGTGAATTCTTTATTGGCTTTCTGGAATGAAAGTCCGAATCCTTGAGGCCTTCCAAGCCAGAGTTGCTGCTAGCCCCTGAAATGCATTTGTGAGAATTAAGCAGAATTGCTTCCACTGGGTGGAACAGCTCTCCAGCTATAGGATTTAGTGAGCAGAATGCAGACTGGAATTTAGCTCCCTAGGGTACAAATTCCTAATTGTATGCAGTGGTTCTGACACTCTCACTTTGCCTCATCTCATGGTTTTCTCTTCCTCACAAGTGCACAGCTGCATTCTTGACATCCCGCTGCATCCCAAGTGTCAGGGCCTTTGCATATGCTGTCGCAACACTTCCTTCCAAAGAGAAGCCCAACTCCCTCCCTCAACTCCTTCAGGCCAAGGCCTGTCTCAATGTGGCCTTCTCTGACCATTCTATTTAAAATGATGTTTGCCATCCTAGCTCTACCACCATCACTGCTTCACTTTATCCATAGCTCCCACAAACGATTGACATATTTCATATGTGTGCTTCTTTCAGGTTGCCTTTGAATAGAATGTAAGCTCTTGGAAAGCAGGGGTTTGATCTTTCTATTCATTATTGAACCCACAATTGTGCCTGACATATAATGGCTCAATAAACACGTGTTAAGTGAAAAATTGGTCAGCCCTTCAGGTTTCAGGCTTGGATCCTCAGAGAATTGTTATGGAAACAAAGGCTTTTTTTAGAATCATGACAAGGGAAAGGAGCCTCAGGAAGGAAAAAAGGGGTCCATCTCTTTCCATGGAGCTCTAGTAGCATAATGCCTAAGGCATTTGACTGCTAACCAGAAGGTTGGTGGTTCAAACCCACCAGCTACTCCTCGAAAGGAAGATTGGGCAATCTACTTCTGTAGTGATACTGCCTCGGAGACCCAAGGAGGGGTTGCTATGAGTCAGATCCAACTCGATGACACATAACAACAACAACAACAACAGCATCTTTCCCACTGGGCCATTTGCCTAGCCTTTGGGCTATGAGCCAGAGGTATATTCCTGTTCAGGTGACCTTTAAACCTCAATGCCAAAGGGTAGTGCATGGTCTAGATAGCCCAGACCAGTAGTTAAGTTCAAAGTCTTTTTAAATTCATCAGCCCATGCTATTTGTTAACTGTCTTCTCTGTTGGGCAGTGTGTATTCCTAGGACCCGGCATCTTGTATCCACTGGAGGACAAAGCAGATGGGTCTGCTTTCATAGGCTTACAATGTAGTGGGAAGAGACAGGTGTTAAACATCAAATGATTGTAAATTGTGATTCATGCTATGGGGGAAGAGAGAAGGATGTTGTAAAAGGGAGATATCAGACAGTGATATTTTAGTTGGAATCCATAGGATGATAGCCAGGCAAAGAGTTGGGAAGGTGTTGGGTGTTAGAGTCACTGGAAGCTCACTGTGGGTTGAAATGTCATGAGTGTGAGGGAGAGGGGCATGAGAGGCAAAGGGTGGGCTTTGTTTCCTTAAGTAAGAAGATTAGTTCAGCATGATGTTGAAATTTATCTGTGATGTCTGAGCTTCCTTTGAGTATTGCTAGTGGACACAGTCCAAGAGTGTTTAGGGGAGTCTGGGGAAAAGTAAAATGGCTCTCTATTTTTCTAGTGGTTAAATTGCATGCAAATTGCCTGGCACTCCCTGAAGCTAGCTTCTGCCTTCACCATTTGGATGACCTATGAGAACTCAATTTATTTTATTGAGCTTTTGAGATATTGTGAATGGGAAGGGACTTGGCTAAACTGGGAGGACCCAGAATTGTCTAACTGTGCCTTCATTGTTTTATGTGAAGACTCTCCATCAGATCATGAGATACTTTCTTTTGGCTTTCACAGTGCTAGCTCAGAGCTGTGAATGAGTGTTGAATAGATTTCTCTACTCTCTGGGAGTGTCACCAGAGAGCAAAAATAGGCCAGGTGAATTTCTCATGGGTTTTATGAGTTGTGCTGACAAGCCTATGAGAGCTGGTTGCTTAACGTCTGGCTTTGATAAAACCAACAAAAATAAGCCATGGGAAATAGTGTTCTCTGCAAGGATTTCTAGAACCCAAAGGGAATAAATAAGGGCTAGCCCCTCAGATGGCCAGAGTCTCTAGGGCACGGGAATTCTGGGCACCTTCCTTAGTGCCACATGGCAGAGGTGTGTCTTCTGAGTTCTGTTATAAGAGGCATTGTAATCACCAAGCTGTGGGTTTGCCCACGTACTCAGCTCCTGGAGGAGGGAATCAGATTCTGGAGGTGTATGTGTGTGTATGTATCGGTGTATATGTGTACATGTACCCGGCAAAGGTGCAAGCAAGCTATAGAGAAAACTTCCTACCTCTACCCAGGGCATGGAAAGGGAGGTGCCATTTGTGGGCAACTGGTAGAGCTAATGTGAGGCTTCATCATTAACATGAGAAAGACAGCTCATGTGTTTTTTTTTTTGTACATGGACAACCTCTGAACCTTGTATCTGACCTTTACACCCACAGTTTTGGAACCACCCTATTGAAATTAGTTTTGGGGAAGAAGTAGTGAAATATAAGGATGGTGCTCTTGTAGAGTAGTGCCTAAGGCATTTGACTGCTAACCAGAGGTTTGTGATTCAAACTCACCAGCCATTCTGTGGAAGGAAGACTGAGCAATCTACTTCCATAAAGATATACCACCTTGGAAACCCAAAGGGAGTTGCTTGATGGCAATAAGTTTTTTTTTTTTTTTTGGTCCACTCTCAATTCTCTGAGCTAACAAAAGAAATAATAACACAGGTATTTCCAAAACACTAGACAACCTTCAAGTGCTTACACCACCATGAATACATTACACAGCTATTTTATTAATTAGAAAATTTATTTTTAAAATTCTATCTGGGTTTTAAAAGCATTTAAATGAGATTATCTTTCTGAAAAATATATCAGCAGACAGCAGAGGTGGTGATGGCTGAGGGGTTTGCCCAGGACTCAGTTTAATATCCAAAGTCTACTTGTTCTTTCAGTCTGTTCATTCCTTCCTCTCCTCAATCCCATAAAGCATTTAAGCCACAAATAGAAATGACTCTTGGATTTGTCCAAGGAGTTCTGGTGGTGATGTGGTTAAGGCATTTGTCTGCTAACCAAGAAGTTGGCAGTTCTAATCCACCAGCTACTCCACAGAAGAAAGATGAGGCAGTCTGCTTCTGTAAAGATTTACAGGCTTAGAGATCCTGTGGGGATCCCTATGAGTTGGAATTGACTCAATGGCAGTGGGTTCTTGGATTTGTTAGAGTTTTCGTTGCTCCAAATCACCATTTCTTTATAATGGCATAGGTAACTGAGGGTGGAGGGTGAGACTCTATGATGTAAATGGTTGTGGTTAAAGGAAACAAGGCACTCAATTGGAGGTGAGTTAGCCTTCAAAACCAGAGTGAGCTTAGTGTCACTGTTAGGCAAATTGACATTATTACCATTGGCCAACTATTAGAAAACTCACTGCCCTTTGTGTGTCCTGGTCCCAGGGAATGGACAAGTTCTCTGACTTCTAAAGGGGCCATGCTGATTCTTTGAGGTCTGGGGTATTCTCTGAGGGTCCTGATACCCAACCCATGGGGGAGCTGTTCTGACCCAATTCTGGAATGGGTTGGGGATCTCTTGCTTTTAGGTGCGATTCTCGGAGCAGCAGAACCAAGTGCTGCAAATGAAGTGGGAGCTGCTGCAGCAGGTGAACACCTCTACTCGGAGCAACATCTTGGATGCCGTTTTTGAGAACTACAACAGCCAGCTGCAGAGGCAGGTGGAGTTTCTCAATGCAGAGAAGATGCGCCAGAACACAGAGGTCAAGAGCATGCAGGATGTCGTGGAGGACTACAGGAACAAGTGAGGCTCATGGTGGGGCAAAGGAATCTGGAAAAAACATGACAAGGAACTGATTGACTGGGACAAGTCATCCCACTTTAGTGTTTATGTGTAAGTGGAGGGACCAGAGCCACCAGACCCACCCATGCAGACTTTGCTCTGTACAACTTCAGGGGCTTCCATTTTACATGTGGCAGCCCTGGCTTGGACAGCAGCTCCCAACTGTATTGGGAGTGGGGAGGAGGATCAGGATGTCTTCATGGATGTTGAAGCCAGATAAGTCTGAGTTCTGGCATGGGCACTTATTAGCTGCATGCAAGTTAGTCTCTCTAACCTTTAGTTTTCATATTACTAAAGTGGGTATAGTAATAATATCTTCTTTGTTGGGTTGCTGTGAGGTGCAGATTGTGATTTTCAAACTTTAGTGTGCATCATGTTATTAAAATCAATTGCTGTTCCCTCTCTCCCAGAGTTTCTCACTCAGTAGGCCTGGGATGGAGCCTGCATTTATAATACATTCCCAGCAGATGCTGATGTTGCTGGATTGGGGCCACAATTTGAGAACTACTGGTTTAGATAAAATTATGCTTAATAAGTATTTTGCCTGCACATAGAAATCACTCCATAAGCATTAGCTGTTATAACAATAATGGTAGGGGAAACAAGATTGGTTTAATTTCAGATCAGCTTCTCCTGCCTTGTGCAGACATCTGAATGGTTTCTCTCTCCTTCCCCATGCTGGGGGAGGAGGGCTTCTCTTGACATCATTTCCCCATGCTCACTGCATTGTGCTGGTGGGAAAACAAGTATGTGTGAGTAGACAAGGAATAAAACAAATTCACACTGGAGATGTTAGTGGGCACAGCATCGAAGGTTAAGTTTTTTCTCTTCAAAAAAATTTTAACCAAAGTGGTTATTTCATGTTTTTGAGTTGAAAGAAAAGCTGTTAAGCTTGATAAATTTACAAAGATAAAACATCAAAATAAAAATGGACATTTTGTGGACAATGTGGCCCTGGGCTTGCCATGTCAGGCCATTGTTCTCTCTTTTGGCCTGGAGAACCAGGAGCCAGCTATTCATCAGTGAGAGCATCAGTCAAGGTTTGGGAAAAACTGTTCTGCAGGCAAAGGTGAGTCCATACCTCCTGCATGAAGAGATACTAAGGAGCCAAGGCCAGCACTGCGGGCTGTCTGTGTTTTTTGCCTCCTCCAACAGGTATGGGGAAGAAATCAACCAAAGGACCAATGCTGAGAATGATTTTGTTGTCTTGAAAAAGGGGAGGGAACGAAGAGTCTAGAGGGGAACTATGGGCCAGGTGGTAGAGCAAAGTGAGGAATCTCATGTCTGTGAGATGATGTGTGACAGTAGAGACAGGTGACCTGTGGGCCAGCTCGCTGTGTGTGCTGCCCAAATGTTGGGGCCCTAAAATGAGAAAAATACAGTTTTGTTTTACAACGAAGGTGTAAGTCAGATATGGATGCTGATACAAATCTCTAGGCACCCTTTAGTTCTTATCTCTCTAGGGTCCTGAGATTGTTGTTGTTAAGTGCTGTTGAGTCGTTTCCGACTCATAGAGACCCCATGCACAGCAGAACGAAACACTGCCCGATCCCGCGCCAGCCCCACAATCCCTGCTATACTTGAGCTCATCATTGCAGCCACCGTATCAATCCATCTC